CAATCAATATTACATTTTTTCCTGTATTTTTGATCAAATAAATGCAGCCTTGATGAGCATAAGATACTCCTGTAAAAAACATTAAAAATCGTTCTTATCCCAAACTTTTGACTGGTTGTGTGTGTGTGTGTGTGTGTGTGTGTGTGTGTGTGTGTTACAAATTTCACCACATGACCAGTTGAATGCTACTCATTTATATTGGTAACGTTGATATTTGGAGTTAAAATATATTATTTAAAAAATAATTATTTATTTTATTAACTTTTATTATTTACTAATGAAAAATTGGCCAGGAATAACTGTGAATATTGGGTTTTTACAGTGGCATCTGAAGTTTTCTATGACGCATGATGCTGCATCCACACCTCAAGTTGTCAAAAGTCCAAGACAATTGCTGTATCTTTTAGTAAATCAAAGACTTCTCTCAAAAAAAATAGGAAATGGTAAGAAAAATGAGAGAGAGAGAGAGAGAGAGAGAGAGAGAGCAGTTTTAATGTTTGCTTCACAACATAAATGAGGCTGTACATCCACTCAATTTTATGAATATGTTCACATCAACACCTAAAATCTAAAAATGCACTAGTTGTTATACATACTACAGATAATTTCACATATGAAAAAAATATCATCGCTCATGAAGTCTTAAAGCAATTGCCACTCGCACATACAGTATATGCCTACATACAGTAGGTGCCGGTACAGCAAAGCATAGTTGCTCCTGCAGGGCTTACTGTAATTTACACTCATATTTGACCCAATGTTAGTTTTGCACCATGCTTGAATTCTAATGTCCTCAGCCTTTAGTTGTGTACACTACACTTATTTCAGCATATTGCATCAAACTTTGTACTTCCTCACCATAATGCCACATACTAGTGCAATTATTTCAGAAACCCTGACTTCCTTATTATTGTACTGACAATATGGTTGAATATAGCATCAAACCATATCCCAGCAGGCATTTCAAAAACACTTAGAGAAAAATATTTTTGTTGTGAGAAAAGTCTGTATTTTGTGTTTCAGGGAAAAAACTGTGAATATAATTATGATGACTGCTTGATCCAGTCATGCCCTGATAGGTTTTCCTGTAAGGATGGCATCAACAATGTCAGCTGTGTCCCTGTGAAGACCGACACATCGTCTGTTCCTCCCATCTCAGTTGTGTCGTGGAGAACCATCAACCCCAACCCAGAGTTACAACCCACTTTAGCACCTGTGGAGAACTTGCAAAACACTGAGCAGTCGACAGGTTGGTACTAAAAACCACATATGCAATATTTTCTAGTTTTGTAATACTTTTGAATATTTTTAGCAGCCTCATAAAATCCACATAATAGTCTTACATTAATAATTTTTGGTTTTGAATCTGAAATGTCTTTGAGTCACAGTCAATTCCTCATGAAGAGCATGCAAATTCTCTGCGTTCATAACAGAGCAAGGAAGCAAACTGTTTTTGCATTTAAACATTATGAGGTTGACTTCCACTGTGCTGGCTTTTAATATTATTGGCAAAAGGATTGGGTAAATGAAATACATCATGAACAATTGAAAACAATCAATAAGCTTGTGTGGTTTGTTTTGATTGATCAGCTTTATTATCTGCTTGTCTTTGTAAACCTAGGAGATTATTGACACTGCTTAAGAGACATATCATAAATATTATTTATGAACAGCTTGTCAATCTTTGAGTAAAACACGGTATGTTATTTATATAGAAATGTATATAGTATATTGAAACAAACACATTTAGTTCACCCAAAAGTACAAATTCTGTCATCATTTATTCACCTCATGTTGTTCCAAACCCGAATGACTTTCTTTCTTTTGCAGAACACAAAAGAACATATTTTGAGGAATCTTTTTAACTAAATTAATTGAATTCTGTTGTATGGACATTTCTCAAAATATCTTCTTTTATGTTTCACAGTCTGTTTCACAAACTTTCTTTCACAAAATCTTTTTAATAAAGAGTGTTTCATTCACTTTACAGTAGTTAGTTGGGTACAGTTGTTACACTTTAAAAATGTAATAGTGAATTTTTTTATATTTTTAAATTCATACTATTTAACAATATCTAAAATGGGAGCCCGCAAGATCAAATAAAAGTCAAATCTTTTATTTAATACATGAAGTAATAATACTGAATAGTTTTCACCTTTAAATGGTACAGATTATTTTAGCTGTCAGGACTAATTTGTGTTTAAAGCAAAAGTGGAACCTACATTATAATTATTTTTAATTAGATGCTTTGATGAAATTCTGCTTTTAGGTGTTTGAAACTTATTTTTATTTCTTAATATCAGTTTTTTGTTTTGTGTTTTTGTTTTTTGGAAAATTTCTCATAAAATGAGATGATCACGCTGCTTTTCCTCAGTCAGAGAGAGAGAGAGCCCTACTGAGCTTGTGCTGAGTTATTGTCATCACTCTTATTTGTGAATTTGTATGTTATTGACTACAATAACATACAGATACATTACCACAGACAACATAATGACAGACAAAAAGTCCTTGAAATGTGTATTCCGAAAACATTTCCCAAATAGCCTACATTTTCTTTGCTCTGTTCCAAAATGAGCTGGGAGCCCCTAAAGGTTAGTAAGATAAACACTCACCATCTGTGGTATGTCTGATAATAAGAGCTTTTTCCACATTTGTTCCACTAATGTTCTCTGAAGAAGCAGTAGTTTGAACAAACTCAATTAGTTTTCGCTGGAAAATTACAGCTAATTAGGAATTATGCGCTATCGTTTATAATGTTTATTGACAGTGACACAAAATGCCCATTGGTAACAATGAATGAATTGTAGAGAGCCAAAATGTCAGTGTGGAACATGAGGACTACATTTCCACATCATTTAGGAAATTGAACCATCCTAGCCCAATTTCCTGACAATGGACTAATAAATGGATTCTGGAGGCTACATTTGTCAAATCACTGAAGGTAATTTGGTGAAGCAAAGTCTAAGCAAGTCATTTTAGAAGAAGAAAACCCATGAATGTGCTTAAATTTCCCTAAAGCATGACTTTTCGCTTTCTTTCTGAATTGATTTGAAATTAACTGCTGGCCCGTAGCCTTTTTCCAAGTATTTTTTTTCTTCTAAATACAGCATTTCACAGCGTTAAAGAGTGAGAATGAGATGACATTCTCTCAGTTACAGGTGAGTTTCTGTTGTACAGTTGGTCTTTTAAATGCTGCGCTGCTAGAACAGTATCTAAGATTGCTGCTATACAAAGTGAACCACAAAAAAATCAATAGGCCAAAATAAAGGTAAATGTGTTTCTGGCATATGTTGAGAGTGATTTTGACATTTAAGCTAGACTTTATGGTGGTCCTGGGGGGGCACAACGCAATGGAATTAAACCTCTCCGCGGAATGAAAAATGTAGTAAACTGAGTAACTGCATTTGGATCTCTTGAGGGCACAGAAATGTGTCTGGATATGACGGCGTGAATGTTTGCTCTAACATACCATCAGCACTAATTTCTTCAGCCACTACTGAGAAAGACAAAGTGTGCGTAAGTCAGTGCCCTTGGGGAACAGTGCAGTTAATTTACCAAACATGCACTTTACTGAAATCAATGAATGTACAATGTGAAAGGCAAATGCTACAGACAGCTTTAAAGGTTTGCCTGGGCATCCATGGGAATTTTCTTCAAGTGCCCGAGAGGTACACTAGCTGAGTAATCGCTGTGCGATTGTCCAGACAGGGTGGAATTGAGGCCATTTTTTATGGAAGATAAAACTCAAGGAAGCTGCTATAGTCTTAACTCAAAAATGGCAGGATAAATCTATCATCACAAGTTGGACTCAGAAATCCATTTAGTCTTTGGATCGTACACACTTTTTTGATGGACAGCTGACTGGGATCGTTTTCACAGAACAGTGAATCAGACTTGATACGATGCAGTCGAATTGTAGATAAAAGAATTGCACATTTATCAATCTCTGGGTTAAGACTTGATGTTTTGGTTTGGTTTGAGGTTTTTTTTTTGTTTGTTTGTTTGCTTTTCATCTGTACTTGTCTTTTTTATCCGTAAGGTTTAGGCAAATTTAAGAATTGGCTCTATTTCTATTAATGAGTGTGAATCTATCTATTTATCTGTCTATTTATATCAAGTAAATATTCACAGTTTAGCTTGACAATAATTGCTGTGTGTAGTTAGAATTAATGTGAATTAGTTAAATTGCTATTGAATTCCAATCGCAATTCTCTATGTTTGCTACCTCAGTTTAAATTCATGAATTCAATTTGAATTTAAAAGGCATTCTCAATTCAGTTCTAAGTGATACACAGTCCTGGTATTCATCCTTTCCTTTGTTGTCTGTATGTTGACGTCTCCTACAATAACTCAAAATATTGGTCAAATAATGTAAAAATGAGAGCAGGATACTAGACCGCAACTAATAAGCAGACAAAGTCTTGAATGCTTGATGCAGTTTTTATTTTGCAGTTTTTTACATTTCATTGCCCCACAGTCAAACATTGGTCTTAGAATATAATCATTTTAAAATAATTTGTCTATGCAATCTTTTTATTTTAAATATTATTCAACAAAGAACATATACTGTAACTTTTAAATGGACCAACAAAGTCTCATCGATATGTCTATATAGGTCACTCTCTAAAAACATCTTTTGCCCTAGGTGCAGCTATAAATAGATTAGCCAGGAACTTGCATGATACCTCTGCTCTCTCTGCTGTCCTCTCCTCCTCCTGCTCCTCTGCATTCCCAGCGTACTGAATCTATTTCAGATAGAAACAAAAGACAAAGGAGTTTGAAATATTCCGCTTTGATATCTACAAATCAGTCAGTGGCAGTCGGGTCATGCTGGTTTGGATGTGTGGCTTCATATGCAACAATTGGACAAATAGTTGATGCAACAGTTTGGTAAAGCATAAAAAATGTGACAAAATTGGGAGTTCATCTGTGTGTCCATCATGTTTGGAAGATTAAAAGATAACTTTCTGATTTTGTGATAAAACTCATTATGTTGAGTGTGAAAGTGAAATATATATATATTTTAATCAAGTTCCTATATCAAATGAACTTCAGATGTGCTTGCTTCGTGTGATCTGTCTTTGCATGTTGATGTCAGGCAATCTGACAAGTTTCTGTGAATTCTTGCACATGTATATGTATGGGCCGATGAGTAACGTGGAACACAGACAGGGCATAAATCAGATGACAATAAAGGAAAATGATCATTAATTTATTTGCATAGCAATCGGGCAACCAGGTGAGACATAGGGCCCACGACCGATCTAAAGTATCCAGATAGAAATTTGTTACCCATTCTCAATGGGAAAGTGCCCAAGCAACATTGCTCAAAAAAAGTTGCCCCGTGTATCATCAGCCTTACAAGTCCTTTTTTACCCATTTTGTAGCCTGTTTTATTGGTTGGTTTTATTGGTACACAAAAAAAAAGGTACACTGGGTTGTCCCTGGGGTGGTAGTGATATATACCATTTAGGTACTAATATGTACACTCCAGGTACGAATATTCGTACCTAAAGTGTGCATATTACTACCTAAATGATACCCTTTCAAAAGCACCTTTTAAAACGGTACTGCCCCAGTGACAGGTTTTGTACCCCCCAGGGTTTTTTTTTCCAGATAGGGTTTCTGGGTGGTTGCTAGGTGTTTTCTTACTACTGGATACATTTAGGTTCTCCATTGTTAGTCTAAGTCGTTTTTTCATATTTTATAGTCTGCCAGGTAACAAATCACGATCGCATAGAAAAGTTAAAGCACACTTCTTTTCAAAAGGCCTCACATTTTGAGGTGTCTTTAGCACAAGTGGTACAGGTGAGTTATGTTCCAAAATATACAATAGCAAAAGTCTCTAATAATGTTTGAATATAATTAAAGTTATTTAAGTGTAAAAGAAGCAGCTGATTACAGTATGTTAGAAAATGGTGCATAAGTGCAACGTTAGTCTTGCATTTGTATATATTTCATAAGTACTTTCCTTGCTTCTACAGTTTTAATGGATGAGCTTACCATTCATTCATTAAACAACACTATTTTTGAATGGCCATAAGGAAAACGCTGATCTTTTCCACACTCTCTCTTGTTCTTCCCTTTACAGAGCTCTATATTTATACATCCCATAAAAGTGTTCATCAGCACAACTGGCAGCAGTCCAGCAGAGTCAGCATTTCACAAACATGCAATAACTACACCTTCAAAGTGTTTGCAGACTTATTTTATCCAATAAGAGTTTTATGTTCGAGATTTCCTGTAGTG